AAGGTCCTAGTGACCTTGGAAACACTTCGGACAAAAATTATGTCAGAATATTCCTTCAAAACATCCATTCGCAGTAGATAGTAGAAAAACTGGTGTTCAGTGAAAGGGCAACGGCCGCTTTAAAGGCCTCGCCAAAAGCGCCAAACAAAGTAGTTTCGCAGTACATTGTGAAACCATCATCACATTGTCTATGCATTGGATCCAGCTCAAACCGATTTTGCTTGAGCAGTCAGTTGTCCCACCTATATTCCAGCGTAACCTGTTGTGTTTAAATACTGCATGACTGATGTTGATAACTTCTTACTCTAACCGCGGCTGTAAGCATCATATCGACCGGTAGCGAGCGTGAACCGAGAAGAACGAAGACAGCTTTCGTTGAAAGTGCCATAAATCAGACAAGTACACCGTTATCCAAACCTCCAAGATCAACTTCAAGCAGATTGCGAAAGCCGCGCTTAAGTAATTCACGAGCCTCAGAACGAATTCGGATCGATCAATAAGGGATGTATATCAGCAGAGAAACGAAGTGAGACATGTAGGGATTACTCCTAGCGCAAGCCGCGTAGGCCGAGATGCTTGTCGCTATCGAACTCCAAAAGGTTTGGTGCGTCGTAAGAAAGAAACGTGCCTCATGCCTATGTGCCTGCGTATGTGATCGAATAGACAGTTGTCACGTTGGTAGAGATGCTGTTTCATTACCAGGTCGTTTTACCACAATATGACCATGTAATTAATGGGGCGATAGTTCAGTTCGAGTATTTACTGCTTTTTGTAAACTGCGTGTGTGTGACATCCATGAGCAAACGTGTGGTCTTTTACAGTTGCAAAATTTTGGGTTGCTATCAGGTTGAATCACTTATCTTTTGTGGTTACGAAGTTTTGCATTTTTCGATTCTAAAGCTTTCCGGGTGCAATTCACGTTAGGCTTGCTTAGTGTCGGTGCATTGATGACGTAGTACATGCCACCTGTGATCTAAATGTTTGCATTATATTTGCCGAAACTTGATAGTCAGATTACTTCTGATAACACTTCCAACCATCTCTCGCCAAGCCAATCTTAAATTAGTTGCAAAATTAGTAATTCACAATATGTGAGGTTCATTCTTAGCTTTCTAGGACCGGAATTTTAATGACAAGTGGAGAATTATTCGGCTGCTCTCAGCTATTTAATATTCATCAATCTATCCGCCGGGATTATCAATATCTTTACTTTGTTATCATAGTGCTTTTTCATCAGTACACACGCTAAATATAACTTGAGGAGGTGCTCTCACGCATCTGGGACGGAAAATAAAGCCTTGTTATTTGAAGCAATGCGTATGGCTGCTAATTACTGGATTCACCTGTTCACCGAGCTTCGTAATTGGTGTGCAAACGTTTCATCACCAAACGTGGTGACTTCCTCAGTGCGCTGCTGGGTCAAATATAATCCGCTAACTTGGTCGTCGATTTGTGATCGATCAACAAGTGCCTTTTGAATCGACCTCCTCGATCTATTCTTGTGACCATCCGCCTGAGCAACTGCTCTGGTAGACACAGGCGACCCGCGGGATGCTTTTGCTCCGGCTGTTGCGGCAGTGCTGTTGCCGGCTCGTCAACCTGCTCACAATAATTTTTAAGTGGTTTCGGTTCTCTTCGCCTTAGCGTTTCGTAAACTGGGTCAATCTCGACGCGAATGTTTATCAAGTGCTCCGTCGAATACCTTTGCCATGTTGAACACTCTTCTCTTTCGCAATTCTCGTACTTGGACCTCTATGTTGTGCCAATCGAAGCGAAGTCCTTCGTCCGCATGCTTTGAAACCAGTGACAGAGTGTAACGTTTCTTACACGTTCTCTTATGCTCTTGTATGCTTGTTGACAGTCGACTTCCTCTCTGACTCACATAGTTCTTATGGCAATCTTGACACTGTATATTGTTAACAGCATTTGTTCTTAGGTGGGCTCCAGGTCTAGCTTTGTGTTTCGACAGGCTTTTCCTCAATGGGGCAGTTAGTTTGTGATCCACTGTAAGACCGTTCTGTTTGAATTATTTTTCTGTCATCTCGGCGATATTCTTTACATAGAGTGAAACGATTTTCTTTGTTGTCGTTTGAGCAGGTTGAGAGGTCAGGACTTTGTTGGTTACACATCGCCGGACGAAGCTACGTGAATATCCATTTAGGTGAAATGATCTGAAGAGTTATATCTCCACTTTCCTTTTTGCCTAAAGAGTGCTGAAATTTGTTTCAAATCTACGAAAGATAGTTCGCACGCAGCTTATTTTGTGACAGTAGTTTAGCATCTGGTCGGTGTGTGTTCCTTTCCTGTACAGCGATGTTTGCAACTCTAAGTCAATCGTCCCGGTGACTAACACCTCCAGAATGAGAGCATGTCTTCTGTCTCCGATTCCATGGTATAATAAAGGTCTCCGATGACGTTACGGAATAACTGATATACAGCCTCTATTTGACTACGTCTTGGTATCAAGAATGTATCATCGACGTATCAGATCGACAACTTTGGGTAGATTATGTGCAGTACATCCTTTTCAAGTTTCTCTATTACTGTTTCCACATCGAGCCCTGACACCGGGGATCCCACCGGTGGTCCTTTCACCAACTCATAGACCTGTCCATCAAAATTGAAGTTGGTCACGAGGCAAAGGTCAAGTAGCTTGCACATATTTTCAGTCGTCATCTTTCTGATTGTTCTCTCACTTTAGTCCAGCCGTTCAGCGACTGCTTGCTACGCCGTCTGTAAGTTGCCAGAAGTAAAGTGTGCGGTCACGCCGAAAGATGTTATTACCTCGGCATGATCTACTCGGATATCTTTGGGCTACCTGACTGTTATCAATCCTGCACTGAGGATGCCACCTCGAATGGTGGCGAAACGTTTGCAATCGAGTTGCCTAGTTCGGAGAACACGACAATAACTGTACAAGCCTCCTGAGCTACCAATATTCCAAATCATTTCGAATATCTTTGAGGTTCTTCATCAATTGCTGTGCACTATGTATAAAGTGCTATGATCCAATTTTCAGTTGCCTGAGACGTCTCTACAACTCGACAGGTAGTACGTAGGTGCTCCTGGGAGCGATACGATTGGTTTTAGTGGTGCGCCGTTTTTATGTATTTTTGAAAGCCCGTAGAATTGCGCTATGTTCGGATCGCGGGCCGTCATTCTATCATGGTCTTCCTTCGTGATCTTGTTCCGTTCCTGGAGCAATTTCAACCTTTTGTTTATTTTGTTTGTCAGTTGCGCTGTTGGATTGTTTTCGATACAGCGGTAGATTGTGTCATTCAGAAGCTGTTTCGCTTTTTCACCATAATCCGCGTTATCCAATATAACCGTTACGCGCCCATTGTCCGCAGATAAAATGACAGTGAATTCCTCGGCTTTCAAAGCTTTTATTTGCACCCCTTCCCTGTTGCGATAGAATTGTGATGTGTGTTACCTGCTACAACCGGGATAATTGTATATCTTAGTTATTCCTGCGCATCATCATCATCAAACCCCTGGACTGGATTACACTTTCGAATCCGGACGGGAACTCTGTAGTCATAGCATCATTGAAATTGTAGTTGAGCCCTTTGGTGAGGACTCGTTTTTCTGCTACTGAAATTGGTCTATTGGATAGATTTCGGATCCAGTCCTCGTGGTTAACTTTGCTATTGTCATGAGTCAATTACAAATACTTGTTCACTAGTGTCTTATTTTCTTCTCCTAGTAGCCTCCAGTCTGCCTTCCATTGCTAAGATAAGGTACTCTGTTAAATGTTGTCCCATAAATTTCAGACAACTAGTTCTATGCTCGCTGTTGCATCGCTCATATTTCCTGATACGGTTGTGGACGTCCGTGATCATGATCCGCATCATGTGTTTCCAAAAGTGTCATGTGACTGTCCATGCCTGTGAATAGTTAATCGGAGGTCTGTATTTGGCGCTGCGGGTGAGAGCATCATTGCGTAAGTAACCATGAAGAAAAGTCAGTTGCTGTCGTGTGGCAGCATGTCTGCAGGCAAAATTCTCCCCGTGGCGAGCAGTTCGGAGCGTTTCGCGCCCATACTTGGTGCACTGCTAGTTCGGGTTGATGGTTCCTTGGTTCACCTTTTCGCCTAGCTACATAATTAGTATGCAGATGGCTGATAATATTACTTAAGTTTGTCATTAGAATTTTCTGGTATTCAGAGTCAAGAGTGTGTAAGCAGTGTGTAGTCCGGTTGAAAAGCGCACAAGCCACGTTAAATGCGTAGACAATTTTGTGCTTGACTGTTCCTGACCAACATTCTTGTTCTTGAATTGATCCATGTAAACTCGATACCAATTACAAGAAACCTTTAGATGTCTTTCGCAAAGATTTTCGTTTAGCGCATATTACTGTTTGTTGAGAAATAACCGTGAAGGCAAGCATTAATGAAATAGATGGATCGCCCCAGAATTGTTAACCTATTGGATTAGTTGGCCGCTAACCTGGCTTCCAGTAATATCTCATGAAGTAGCAGAGCTAGTCGGTCAGGTCCCTGTGAGCTCCAATCTAAAGGTACACCGAAATATCACTTTACCCTGGGATAAATTCGTTGCTGCATCTGCAGTGCGCATAAGAGAATGGCGGAGCTAACGTTTTGCTTGGAAACGCAGTGTATCCCATCTAAGACAAGCGTTACTTGCAGTCAAGGAAAGCATACATTTCAACTGGTAAACACATTCCCACAGTACAACAAAAAGTTACAGTAATTTGACTGAGACCTGTTTTCCGTGGAAGTGGGATACGGATTACAAACGTAGGTTGATTTGATAAAAGCATTTGACATTTCAACGTGGCGGCTTTTTCTCAGAGTACCCAATTATGGCTTCAGCCTAAAGTAACGCAGTTAAATTATCACAAGCACTCTAATCTGACAACTAACACTACATATAACAGTATTTACAGAATGGCAACTCGTCAGTTTATTTCCCTTTACATGTTAATAGTATTGCGATTCTGAGCTGAAACAAAGCAACTAATTATTCCCACCATTCCAGGTCGCCGTATTCCTCGGACCTGTTACTGGCATTCCTATCCTCTTGTTTTCCGGATTCTTCCTCAGTCTTGATATGATACCCAACTATTTGCAGTGGCTTTCTTACGTTTCGTTTACACGATATTCCTTTTCTGGTGCCCTTAAGGTAAGTCACGTGAACTTAACGCATGAATACCTCTGAGTATACAAGCACATCCTAAACACTTGTTTTCACCTTGATTAAACATAAACACACATGAAACACAAACCTTTCTTAGTACCTCTTCGCTTCACTGCTGATGGACAGGCACATGGAATCAGGTAGACTTTTATCATGCTTGTCCTTACCTCATTTGCTTCAAATGACAGGAGTACACAGCAAACGCTTATACACTTTTGAGTTTGCCTCCATCCGTGACCCCTCTCACTCAATTTAATCTATCTGCTAACTGCTGTCCATTCACTAAGGTTCGAAACTTGACTAAAAAACTACCATGCTTGAACAGCGGAGACAACCTAATAACACTTTTCCGAAAGACTCCTAATACACTTTGTTTACTTGTTCAATATTTGGTTTACACTTACCTAAACAATTGATATTTTCTGATGATAGCGTCTTCCCCCCAGTTATATCACCCTTCCGTTATAGGTACACCCGTCATCACATCACAAAATATTGCAAATTTTCTGCTCTGCAAAAAACGTTATTGTTTATTCGGTGACCGTAGTCTGATACGCGCTATTCTGTTCCGCCAGTAACTCTATGCGCTGTGTTCAGACAGCTTCTGTGCACCTCAATACAGTTGGGTGAATGCCACATCCACAGTGGTTGCCATGTTCGCGTTAAGTATTATCTACAAATGCTCACGAATTTTACCAAGTTGTGAACAACCAAATCGTAGGGTTAACCTTAGCCGCAATAACCATAATTTATATCTAGTTTCTCCATCATAGATGGCTCATATTCTCGTGGATATTGGATTTTCAGATACATCAGAGATTTACTGTTATCTTTACTGAAAAATTCTGATTACATGCAATAGTGTTTATTAGACAATTATGAACGATGTGGGTGTTCTACAGCCAATATTTAGTACACCCTCCGGAAATGGTTAACCAAGGTACCTTTTATGATACGATCATGCCGAGAATACATGTGCCGGTGGAAGTGACAACTGTTCAGTCCCAATCGAATGCCTGCAATAGCCAGCTAAAAGATGTTTCCTACTATTCGGCCCCATCGTCCGGACAATCGTCCTAAACGCCATGATCAACTCGAAGCACACAGTGCTTTTGTGTTTTACAAGTATATTGTTTACCAACATGTATTTAGAGGACGTTAGCTTTTCACTTTTTTGTGTAAAACATTGAGTAGAATCTAACAAACTTGTCTTCAGATAAGTAAGTTTAGTGAACAATCGCGTTCCCACCAGTTATATCAGCAAGGTTAGTGGTTAAAATAACTGTGTACCATTATTCTTGATTTTGGGGGACAGTGAGGTGTGTAAAGCATGTAAACTAGACAGGACACAGATGAAAAAGTCGACTACCGCATACCCTGACACATTTTAAAACGAACATCATTTATTTAGTTGTAGTTTAAGTAAAATACGGCCGAGCTGGAGGTAGAGGATTTTTGGATCCATCACAAAATAACAGTTTATTTCTTACTTGTTTAGCGACAGCTTAAGTATCACCTCTTCTATTCTCTTGACTCTATTTCGCCAGGTCATCTATGCTCTAAACCGAACCCATCTGGACTGTACCCGTCGACGCCGATCCGGTACGCATTTTCCCTGCGTTCGGGAACCTTCACTTGTGATCGAAGCACTCAACGCAGGGCACCACGAAGTCTATGTGGACTATTTGGTTCTTGTCCTCTTTTTTGTCGCACTCCGATTGCTTGGCTACTTCATCCTGCGTTGGCGTATTAGGGGACATCGATAATAACACAAAATGCCATCAAAAAGGAACGAGTTATCATACTCAAACTTACTTCCACTGAGCTGAATGCATTTCGTAACTACTATTTCTCCGGTTTTGTTTGTATAAGCCCATTTGTGAACTCGAAATTTCAAGCGTTTGTATGGCGGGTCTTTGGCACACAATGAAAGCGACTGATGAGTGCGTTGGACCTACCGACAGCTGGATTCATTCAAGCACACTTCCGTATTTATAAAATTCCAAACTTACTTGTTTTCGCAGAAAAACCCATATTCACTGGTCTCTTGACAGGCAACATAAATATATTATTTTTTATACTGCTATGAACTTTCTTTGCAAAGCGGTGGCAAATAAACTTAGAGCCTTTGTTAGTTGTTGCTGACTTCTAAACTGTATAAAAACTACATATCTTTGCGACAAATGACAATTGATTATCCGGTTTAAACACTGTTGCAACGAGCTTACCAAACTTAAGCCGCCAATTAACTTATAGCATTGTAAGCAGTTTGGTCTGTGTACTAATCACAGAAGAGTAGTAGGGGTAGTTGAATGGTATAGGTAAATATTCATCACGTTTAAGCTCGTCGCTTGGAGAGGAGGCTACACTGTCCTCTGCATGGCAGTAACGTGTAAGTCGGTGGATAGTGGGCGGCGCTATATCACATCTAGTAACTTATTCACGATGGTCCTTGCTGTCCCCCGTAACTCAGTGGTCTCAACCACGGACTGGCAACAGTCGAGTTGTGGGTTGAAACCCTACCAGGGTCCGGTGGAATGCGCACTGCTGATTATTTGCGAAAGGATGAAAGGGGCGTACAGTGTTTTTCCGGGCGTGTGACGGCTCTGAGTGAACCTGTTATTTCGTTTTGATTGATATATATATATATATATATATATATATATCCTATGCTCTTCTATCACCAACCTACGGGACATGACAAGCCTGTGCTTTTATTTGCCCGTTATAAAACATTGTTCCATTATTCTAACGTACCACACACTCACTATTTCAGTTTCGGTCACTTGTTCAACGGGTTTCCAACCTCTGTTGATATACTCACGGCTATTCTAATCGGTAGCTAATACCAAGCCAGGACGTGGTCAACTAAGCAGCATGTAACCTTGATAGAGTTCACAGAAAAGCATTTTGCTAACGCACTTATGTTTCTGCACGTGCGATTGTCAGTCGCATTTTCCATAAGATATCTTCAAAAATTTCATTTTTATCCATAACAAGTCATTCTGCCACCATACGTTATACAATCTGGTGAACGAATCGTGGGATGCTCCATAGAGAAAAAGGCTATTTGATGGAAAGAGCATGTTTACCAGCCGTTCTCACATGCTTCTTATTTTGTGGAGTTTACACGTTCTCCTGGAGCCATCATGTTCCCCTGAAAGGCTTGCAGTGATTTGTTGTATTTGGGGAAAGGTACAATATTCATTTTGGCACATGGAGCCTTTACTGCTCTACTTACCTAGTTCTGTTGTGAGAATTAAATGTGAGCGAATACGCCACATTTTTATCTGTGTCTTTACTGTTTTCCGTACTGGTTATTTAAACGCATCGCAAATGAGGACACAATATGCTTGGACCGAATGGGAAAAGCACAGAACGTACACTTTTAGTAGGTGCGTAAAACAATGTGACCAACTCAAAACCATTGAGGTGTTTTCATTAGCTAGGGAGACCTCAGTTATAAAAACCACCACATCTTCCACATCCAAATGTATCAAGGCAAGCATTTATAGACCAGCGTAGGTGGTATGAACAGAAGGAACTGCCAAACATATGTAATCAATGTTTATTTTGGCTGGATAAAGATATCGAAAACGGCATCATTGCACAACCAATAGAGCGTTTGCAAACAGAAGCAGTCTTCTTATATTTGTAGAAACTTGAATGAAATAGTCGTCCAGTAATCACTCAACAAGCAAGTGAGGTTATAGAAAACTAAGTGTAATACGGTTCTGTTCATAAAATGCATAAACAATTCCTAATAAAACGTGCCAAAATGAAATTTATATAAAATCAAATAGACGTCGTTCTGTGTTGATAATCTCCTAATTACACAAAGTGCTTTGCATCGGATGCCTTCTAAAGGTTCAATTCTAACACGCTATATTGGTCTGTGATGTTTTACACAACGCGTTATCACTGACAATGTTTTCAGATGGCATTTATGCCCATTCTCCCTCAGAGACACTGCTACCATTTCGTCGACTACGTGGTCCCCTCAGGTTGCAATTACCTTATCCCTACACCTGCCTATGCTTAAGATTATTTAGTTAATTATTTCTCGTCAGATACAATGGGGCAATTGTTTATGACAGGTAAAAAGTATTTGCTTGAGAGGTCCTTTAGGTAAGTCAAGAATATAAGCAAATAATATAAATATGAAAAATCTAAAACGAACGGGATAGTTACATATTAGAGGCAAAATTGTTGAAACAACATAACAAGTTGCCAGAACTAATATCTCATGGAAAAACAATCGGATTGCTCACCTGTTTTCACCAATTTACGTGTAGCAACCTGGACTGTGATTCCAAAGAAGCTACTTCCCCCTAATGCATTTCTGATCATCCATTCAAGGCAACTGTGCTACATTCCGATAATAAGTCTGACCTTAACATATATATCAGGTTGTACAAACTCATTATTACATACGCTACGCTGGTAAATGCGCTTCTGCTAACAGTCTGTCTACAAAAATAAAACCTACAAAGACCGATTTGTATTCCAAACCATATGAAGTTAAAAAGTCGGTCTCCTTTTCTCGGGGTCGCTAGTATTTATGTGGAGTACCAGTTCGTCTCAGTACGGTGAGGTAGAAACCATTGAGCGACGGAGTTTCGCACGGCGTGTCGATTCGAACTCTATCTGCTGCCCTTGCACTTCCGATACTGATTGGAAGAGACGAACATTTCGTTTCATTAAGTAAACGGAACCAAGCGAAAGGTTAACGGAAAAGCAACGACGGTTACGACAGCTTTGTACGCTTTATTCACAATTTGGTGGAAATATCTGTCTACAGTACCTCAGTTTAATAAATCTGGTTGAACTATGTGAATTATTAACACGTATATTTGGATTCTACTATGCTGAGATGGATTGAGATCTAACCATAACTCCTTGCAATCTGATTATAAATTCCTATCGCATGCTTATGTAAGAAGGGCGGCCAATATGTTCGTGGCTTTGTTCCCTTCCGGACAAAATAGGAAAAAGTATGTAGGAGCATATGAGACCTTGATATCTGATCGTACATATTGCAAGTGTTTATGATTCTAAACATTGGTTATTTTAAGTAGAAGCTGTGAAGGCAGAGGCAAGTTCCACATCGTTTAAGTTACGGGACGTCACGAAGTTTTCGTTTCTCCAGTTTTACTGGGGGAAATTACAAGTAGGTGTTACAAACACTAGGAGAAAAGCGTCCCTCCTAAATAACTTCCAAAACACGTATATCTCGTTTCATGTCTGGTCAATACGAAATTCAAAATGAGCCAGCAGATGACGTCCCCAAAACTCAACGGACCCTACAGCCTGCGAGACTTTCATGAACTGATCATGGCGAGCGGCGACAATCCGCTAAAAGGATTGCCAAGATACCAGCCATCTCACCAAAAAGTGTTGGGTTTGATAGCTCTATCATCCTGCACATAAGTAAACTTTCAGTAATGTGGGTGCTGGATTGTTTAACCAGTAATCAGAACCAGAAACGAGTTGCATGATCTGAAAACACTTAACTCTTTTTTGACGATGTACAAAACTTTTTGACTTGGTGAGGCACTGGTGATGAAATCTGCATTTGTATGTGTGATTCTGAAACCAAGAAAAAGTCAAAGGAATGCCTCCAAAGTGAGTTGAAGAAATCTTGTACCAAAATCCGTCAAAAAGACATGGAGTCCGTTTTATGGGAGAAAGGTGTCCTGTGGTTTGATCTCCTACCTCAAGGTTCCAGTATCACATGACAGTATCATGTTAAACTCCTGTACCAGCTGACCGATGCGATTGAAAGGAGCATGGAAAAGCTGAGGAACGACATCCTTTTCTTGTAAGCCAGGGCACCTGCGCACACTTCAAATGTTGTGCCTGCCAAATTGAACACCCATTGTTTCAAATTGGTCCACCAACCCCGATACTCACTTGATCTGTCTCAATCAGACTATTATATTTTCCCGTAGTAGAGGAAACTTCTGAGGCGGTGACGTTTTGAAGATCTTTCTGGTGTCACACGTGCTGTTGATGGCTGGATGAGTCACCACCGAATGAGTTTTACCTGACCGGTCAAGAAGAGAGTCAACTACGTTGTACATAGTGCATCAGTCTCAGGGGTGAGTACGTTAAATAAACCTACCATCAACATCATCATCATCAGCAGCAGCAGCAGGAGCAGCAACAACAATCACAACAATAACAGCGACAACTGTACCTCCGCACGTTGTACTGACGTCTTACTGCCGTACAACCATGGTGATCTTTGGAATGAATAATTATGTGCTGGAGAGAAGGATTACCTAGAGTAGCACCTTAATGTCCTAAGCAAACTTTCTGAGTCAAGATGCCTGCATATACCGCCACAAACAGCTAAATATCTTGCAATGAACAGGCGGTATCGGACAGACAGCTTGCTTTCGATTTCACTGCCCCGCGTTATCATCAGCTATGGCCCCGCAGATAAGTTAGCACCAAACACACGTTAAACAGATATTCTGAGTAGAATATGACAATAGACACCCCAATGTTGCCAACTGCGAACCATGTTCTGTAACCTCTCGAGCCAGGCACGAGGCAGGCCATGTGGAATCCAGTCTGGAAGGGGGGATGGGCTTACGGCACCGAGTTTCGTAGATATTTACCTCATTTAACGCTTGCAACATGACTTCTGTCCACCTTAAACTTTGCGCTACCCTACAGCTGGCAAACAAACAACACCCTCTTCGGTAACTGGGACCGGGCATACACAGTACGTGCAATTTAATCAGTGCTTTCTGTTATTCTAGGGAACTAGTCTGGTTATCACTGTCTAATACTCATCTACGTACATCATAGTTACGGATACGCAGGGGCCACACGAGACCAGCACTGCTTCGCAGGCAGCAATCATCAAAGACCAGAAGCACCTCAGACCGAAGGGTTCAAGTTTCACTACCATAGATTAGGACAGCCCTCACTGTGGTCTTGTACACACGGCCACTCAGATGGAGTGAAACGCTTGAAGCCATATATGTTGAAGATTCAAGCAATCAGCTCTAGCTTTTGCATACATGAACTGACTTTAGTTGTTATGCGCCCATTTTCGCTTGTGCAGCTGCTA